CTCTCTCTCTCAAATAAATAAATCTTTAAAAAAAAAAAAAGTGTATGAAGCACCTTGTCCACCTTGGAGAGATGGCACCCTCCATAGAAGAACAGTAACACACCACTACTGTGAAAACAGGGCAGGCAAACATAAAAGCTAAATCCTGAAGAGCTACACAGCAAAGGGAATTATCACCTATTTAATAGTGTGTCCCAATCAAAGACAGTCCACAGAGAAATTAACAGAAGGTAGAACGATGGATAACAGAAGATCGATGATACAGGTTAAAGCACACACATAGTTTAACAGAGACTGCCAAGATAAAAACAGTTTTAAATAAGCAAAAGTCAGCTACTTGAGCATAAAGTTGAGGCCAAGAAAGATCTTAGAAACATCTACACTTTTTTTTTTAAAAAAAGGCCACTTTTTAAAAATTGTGGTAAAGCGAACATAACATAAAATTTACCATCTTCACATTTGTGTCTGTTCAGTAGTGTTAAGTACATTCATATTGTTGTGCAAACAACCTCCAGAAACTCTTTTCATCTTGCAAAACTGAAACTCTATATCCATTAAACAACTCCCCATTTCCCCTCCACCCAGCCACTGGCAACTACCATTCTGTTTGCTGTCTCTGAAATTGACTAGGCTAGGTACTTCATGTAAGGGGAGTCCTACAGGAGTTGTCTTAACAAAAAACAAAACAAAACTTTTAAACCAGAGAAACTACCAGCAGAGGCAAACGGAAATAATCTAAAGTACAAAGGGACAGAAAAACAGGAAGCAGAAAGTGAACTGGGGAGGATTCTAGATTTTGGTATCTATAAAATGATCCCAATCATAACATTAGTTATCGGAAGTGGATACATATCTTTTCTAAATATCTTTTCAACAAAAACAGAGAAAAGATGAGCAGAAAGTAGACTGCCACATTTTAGTACCTGCACAATGACTCCAGGCATAACATTGGTTAACAGAAATGGATTCAGATCCCCTTCTACAGGTATCTTTAAAACAAAGATGAAATCAGCATCATCTTAGTTTCTTAAGATTTGACTCCAAAAAAGGAAGTTGGTATCGCCATCCTCAGGCTCAAATTTAGTCAGAATGAAAAGCATGTTTGTACCATCACACCAGTGACAATTAACCCCTATCTAAAAATGTTTCCAATCTTTCCCGGACATTCTCTGCTCAAATAAACATGTTGCTGAGATCTAACAGTACACACAGAGAAGACTATTATATTTAATTTTTTCTTCTTAACAGTGAAAATACCTAATCTGATCTCAGAATACAAAGAAAACTTCAACACAAACGTACCCCTAGAAATACGCTGATTGAAATAATCATAGAGGACAAGTAAGTAAATCTAAAACTAATGCTGACGCTAAAGCTAACTTCAACTTTAAGAGGATAATATGAACAGAAGTTATGAGTTTGATGGGAAATTTCCATTCTCATCATATTAAGTATTTTAATTGCATTTGCTAATCTGGGGATGTGTTCTTCAATTGGGAAATCATGAAGCAAAATGAATAGAATTACTCTTTCAGGAAAGAATTATAAGTCATCGAAACCTCTGAAAGATTAAAACTGTAATTCTGGAAAAAAAAAAAGTTTTTGCTTTGCTCCACCTTATTTTTTTCTGGAGATAGTAAATGCCCGGAGGCTCTGACCTAGCTTCAGAAAAAGAGCCAGTAGAGTGGGTTCACGAAAAAGAAATTATCCAATTGCAGATTAGCAAAACTATAAGAGGGATTAAGAAGTGACACAGAAAAGGAACACCCTGAAAGTGTGTATATAAGGGCCAAAAGGCAGCTTGCAAATCCATGCTTCACTGGTACCTCTCCTCTTCACCTGGACAAGCTAAACATTTGCAGGAGCACCATGTCTTGCTCGTCTCGTATCTCCTCTTCCAGGGCTGGAAGCAGTGGCTTGATCAGGGTGTCTGCTGGTGGAAGCAGCTTCAGCAGTGGAAGCAGATGCGGTCTGGGGGGTGGCTCTACCCAGGGCTTCCGAGGAGGAACCGGCAGCTGTGGCCTGAGTGGGGGATCAAGCAGTGGATTTGGAGGCAGCTTTGGAGGAGGTTTTGGTAGCTGCTCAGTAGGGGGTGGTTTGGGAGGAACTCCAGGCTCTGGGGCTGGTTTTGGTGGAGGTTCTGGCTTTGGTGGGGGTTCTGGCTTTGGTGGGGGTTCTGGCTTTGGTGGAGGTTCTGGCTTTGGTGGGGGCCCTGGAATTGGTGCTAGTGGAGGCTTCTACAGCTATGGGGGTGGGATGGGGGGTGGGATGGGAGGTGGTGCTGGCGATGGCGGGCTTTTCTCTGGAGGTGAAAAGCAAACCATGCAGAACCTCAATGACCGCCTGGCCAGTTACCTAGACAAGGTCAGAGCCCTGGAGGAGGCCAACACTGATCTGGAGAATAAAATCAGGGAGTGGTATGAGAAATTTGGGCCTGGGTCTGGAGATGGTGGATCTGGAAAAGATTATAGCAAATACTATCCAATAATTGAAGATCTCCGGAACCAGGTAAGACACTATCCACTACTGAGTTTCTATTATTTCTGTATCTTTTGCTCTTATTCAGATCATACACCGTAATGAAGATTTCAAGTCAAGGAATTATTTAGAGACATATTTGCTTGTTGTACATGTAAAATGGGACTTGGTGTATTTTAACTATGACAGTATTGTATATGACATCCAACCACTCTAATTATCTGTTTGCATCTCAAATTTGAGTATTTCTACATAAGAGCAAAATTTATATCATGTGCGAGGCAGCTAATGAACATGTACATATAAGAATGGTGGCAATGAGTCAACACTAGCTTAATCTGATATTTTCATGATTAATTCTGGCAGGTTGACATATTTTCGTGTCTTGCTAGATTTAAATCATCTTTACAACTGTTTTTCTTCCTAGAAAATCTGGGTGCAAATATTGTATGAGCATGCGGCAGAATCTGAAATGTTTAGCCACTGCTGTATGGGAAGTATTTTTTTAAGGACTTTTTAGAAGTAAAATTCATTTTCTGTACTATTTTCTGAAAGAACTTACAGAATAACTGATTCTCCAAAGCAACAGAAATAAGCAGAGGGCTGTGCTCTGTAAAACAACGTTCCATGCCTATTCCAGTAAATGTGCAAACTGTTCCTTTTTGCAGAAAGATGTAGTCCAACTACACCAGATTATCAATAAAGATGTCATTACTAAGCAAGTTTTTAAAGCAATTTACCTTTAAAAGCCAACTCCAAGGACATCCATCTACCCTCACAGGTGGGCATGCGGACACAGGTAGAAAGCATCCATGATGCATTCACTATTATTGCCTTTTCTAGATCATCACTGCCACTATTGAAAATGCTGGGATCGTTTTGCAGATCAACAATGCCAGATTGGCTGCTGATGACTTCAGACTGAAGTAAGAAAAGCGAAGACTTGCAAACAAATGTTGTGGGAAAAATAAAATGCAATCTGTCTGTTTCATTTAGTCTAAATTTAGAGAACTATCTTTTAGGGGATCAAGACCTAAATTTACAAACATTCCAAGAGTAAATTTTAAAAACCATCACTCCACTCCAATAAGGAAACAAAAAAAAAAAAAAAAAGAGGCAAATTAAGGATGAAATGTTTGTTCTAAAAAAAATTAGCTGTCAACAGAATTAATATTCGGTTCATAATTTTCTTTCCAGGGGAAAAATTCCTAAGAGAAAACTTAGTAGCCTTCGTTTATCAAATAGCTCAGAAGGGGGTGCCTGGCTGGCTCAGAGAGGCATGGGGTTCTTGATCTCAGTCGGGGTCGTGAGTTCAAGCCCAGCATTAGGTGTAGAGATTACAAAAATAAGTAAGTAAGCAAACAAACAGCTCAGACAAAAAATCTTTTTCTTGAATATGGAAGAATGGATGGACTCTGAAATGCTCTATCCTGTCCTCCTGCTGTCCTTTCCAGGTATGAGAATGAGCTGTATCTCCGGCAGGCCGTGGAGGCCGACATCAATGGCCTGCGGAAAGTTCTGGATGACCTAACCATGACACGCTCTGACCTGGAGATGCAGGTTGAGAGCCTCACTGAGGAGCTGGCCTACCTGAAGAAGAACCACGAGGAGGTAGGAACACGTTCCACATTATTAAATGACTCTGGCCTACCTATTTTCCCCCACATCCATTCTGTAAAAATAAAATAAGTTCTATCTAAATGGATTTCCAACTCCTATGATCAAGGAAAAAAGTAGTCATGAGCAAATTATTTCTCAATTTAGTGGGAAGCGAGGGTAGCCTTTAATGTCCTAGTTTCAATTTTTTGTTGGCTATGCACATTTTAAGAAGTCTTTGGTTTTCTCTTATCACGGTTGTCCTTTTCTCTTCACACTAGGAAATGAAGAGTATGCAAGGAAGCTCCAGAGGGGACGTGACCGTGGAAATGAATGCTGCTCCAGGAACTGACCTGACCAAGTTACTGAACGACATGAGGGCACAGTACGAAGAGCTGGCTGAGCAAAATCGCCGCGAGGCCGAGGAGCAGTTCAACAAACAGGTAGATTATCACTGCTGGATGCCTGAGCCGGCAGTCACACACAGGCCACCTCCTCTCATTTCTTCAGCCTGCAGTGATGGCATTTTCTTTTTCTCTAGAGTGCATCACTGCAAGCACAAATTTCTACGGACGCGGGGGCAGCCAGTTCTGCCAAGAATGAGATAACAGAACTGAAACGCACTCTGCAAGCCCTGGAAATTGAGCTCCAGTCCCAAATGGCCATGGTAAGTGCAAAGAGGTTTGCAACATCTCCAACAGGGAGTTAAGCGATCCCATTTTCTTTCTTTGCCAAGATGTTCCACTTGGCACATAATGAAAGCAGCATTAGGAGAATTCGCTTGTGGCTGTAGAAAGCCCAAGACATTCCAGTTAAAGATAATGTACTTCCATAGAAGATCTAGCTTAAAGAAAAACAGGCATGTCAACAAAAATTAAGGAAACAGTGATAGAACAACATAGGTTGTAACTTGAAGGTGTACTTCTCTGAGCACCTTATAAAAAAACGAATTTTTCATCATGGAGTTTTGATTTGCTTTTTCTCTTAGAAAAGCTCCCTGGAAGGAACCCTGGCTGACACAGAAGCTGGCTACATGGCTCAGCTGTCAGAAATCCAGATGCAGATCAGCAGCCTGGAGGAGCAGATCTGCCAGATCCGGGGCGAGACCAAATGCCAGAACGCAGAATATGAGCAACTGCTGGACATCAAGACCCGCCTAGAGATGGAGATTGAGACCTACCGCGGCCTGCTCAATGGAGAGGGAGGGTAAGTGAAAGTCATGAGCCCAATCAGTGCATTCCTTGGTGTACTTATGTAATGAAACCAAGAAGGGGTCTGGGGGCTGGACTTGGTTTACACAGTCACAGTGGGACACCTGGGTGGCTCAGTTGGTTAAGCGTCCAACTCTTGATCTCAGTTCAGTTCTTGATCTCAGAGTCGTGAATTTAAGCCCTGTGTTGGGCTCCATGCCCAACTTAAAATAATAATAATAATAATAATAAAAAGTCACAGAGACACAGTCCAATCAGAAGACATTTACCTTCATCAGGGAGAGCCCCCTGCATGGAGGGTTTCTCCCACCTTTGCAAACTACAAAGGAAAACAATTCTTTTTTCCTCTAGTGGTTCTGGTTTTGGAGGATCTGATTTTAGAAACTCAGGATCCAGAAATACAGGATCCAGAAACATGGGATCTAGGGATTTGTCCGTATCTGGTGACTCAAGATCTGGAAGCTGTTCTGGCCAAGGAAGAGGTAAACATTTTTTAATGCTCATGATCATTTTATAATTTAAAAGTAAAGGCATGCTTCGTTTGTCTTATAAAAAGTATATACTATAGTTTACAAAATCTTAACCCAGAGAGAACTTAAAGAATGCACCTGAATGTCTCTTGATCTGGGTTTCTGTGATCGTTTCCAGACTGACATTGTGATTCTGTGATTTTCAGATCCAAACAAGACCAGAGTGACTAAGACCATCGTGGAGGAGGTGGTGGACGGCAAAGTCATCTCATCTCAAGTCAGCAATGTGTCTGAGGTGAAAGTTAAATAAGCAATTTCCAGATCAGCAAGAATGTCTTTTAGAGAAAAACCGAAAGGACACGAATGAAGAAATCATGTCAATCTCACCATTTTTCTGGATAACTTCAGGCAAAGTTTCCATCCAGAAATAGATGACCAAGCAATTTTTCTGAATCCTCTTTTTTTTCTTACTAGAACCTTCTTGAAAAAGTTGAAATGACAATTTTGCTCTAATTGTTTTCATGCTTCAATAAACTTACTTTTGCAAGTTAACTAAATGCTTCCTGAAATTTTTAAAGAAATTCAATATTTTACCTAGAAATAAAGCTATCAGTCACGATCTCGCTTCATTGTTATGTTACTAACATTAATTCATTATTTATATAATACCCTCTTCATAAAAATCAAGATTGTAGCCATGTGGTGTGTGAGCATTTCTAGCAACATCTCACTGGAACTTAGTGATAGCTGAAATTAGACCTTAGCATCCCGAAAAAAAGTCGTGGGAAATAAGATGGGATATGTGATAGGGTGCCAGATTTCTGAAAACCTTGAAAGCCCCAAAGAGGAAAGATCTCAGGTACTTCTACCCTTAAAAAATCTAGCCACATCTCTAAGCCAAAAATTGTCACTTAGCCAAGTTGATGTTTCCTTTTCCCACTCTGCATTGCTGAAGTCCTTACCCCTGAATCGGCCACATGGCTCCATCTTGTCTTGCTTGGGATAATGAAGCCTATTAAAGTAGGGCAGGAGGTGGTACAGAGTCAGTCCCAGGAAGAACCAGACACAGGACAAAGCCAAGCTGGGTAAGGACTTTCCCACTCAAGGAATTTAATAGGACCAGATCACAAACTAGAGAATCAACCCCACAAGCCAGTCCTCGAGAAAAGAACTTGAGACTTGGCACAGAAAGGCAAATTTAAAATTACAAAGGATAAACCTGAACATAATTTATGCAAATCGTACCTTCAAATATAAAATCAGTAAGAGCTGTATGAGAGTATCAAACTTTAATAATCAAAACAACCCAGAAAATGTGGTTTTTCATTTGCTAGGCATTTTGAATAAAACCTAAAAATGAACCTGCAGGCACACTGAGACTTCGGCTTAAATAGATAACCACAGAACAAAGTTAATAGCTAAGCACAAAACCACTACTCAAAAACAGCAATGTTGTCTTAAATCAAACATATGTTTCCCATCAATCCATTACAGTAAATTAAACCTTGGATATTTGTCCTGTACTGAGAAGTTTGGAAATATGAACCAGCTGATCTAGGCTGGATTAATGGTGGGAGGACACAAATGGAAAGCAGTTGTGTCCAGGCTCCAGCCCCTTGGGTCATCATGGCCACACTGGGGAAGCCTCTCTCCGTGAGTCTTCCCAGATGTAGTCTTCTAGTCCTGTACCATCTGGTACCTACGTTGATGGCTGGTATTATCCTCATGTCAAAGCAACAATATGCAGCTACTCTGAAAATCATCTTTAGGCAAAAACCCTCATTCTTTGTTTCCTTGGCATGTGTTAAGATGCTGCATTTGTACTAAATGATCACTTATAGAAAAGGCCAGAACATACTAAGATGCAGTAGGGTATGTTTCGAGCATTTCAATTTTAAAAGTGAAATTACTGGGGCGCCTGGGAGGCTCAG